GCCGACTACATCTCAACACGTTGTGATCCTTTCTGAGTTTTCTACCAGCAAAAATTCAAAGGAAAACGGAAATGCAATTTCAATTCATTGGATCAGAACAATATATATCAGTGTTTTTGACCTAAACGACAATTTTTTGACAAAAAATAGTTGACTTGATCAATGATCCGTTGGTCCAGGAACCCTTGACCTGTTTGATCTGGACGATGGTTTTTTTTTCTTTTTGACAAAGGAGTGACTCAAAGATGAAAATAGAACCGGTTGCTTGAATAGTTCTGGGCTGAACAGTCCAAACTGTTGGAAAACCATATACAAACATGGCTGTTTAAGCATAACTATGGAAGAACTGGCCAACCCAGATAATTCTTTGATGAACACAGTCGGACCCTTGAAAAAGCTCAGGAGAAAGCTTTTTGAGCAGGCAAGAGAGTGGTGGGTCGGAGCAAACGATCTCTGGGCGTTGGGCAGTTGATTCATAAATGACTACGCCAGCGTGATCATGAACCAATGAATGGCGGGGAAGGAAAGGAGGACTTTAATCCCACATCGTCTGTTGAAAAGAATTGAAGAGGCAGCGCCGACTATAAAAAGAGATGGAAGACAATGAGGAAATCATACCTTTCTCGGCCTTTTGGCTAAGATCAAGTGTAGTATCTGTTCTTATCAGTTTAATATCTGATACGTGGGCCATCGGTCCACATGGTATTAAATTTATTTTTCTAGGGGGAAGACCCGCCACTGTAGCTTGCTACTGGGTTCTCGTGCGTCTCCCATGCGTTGCACTACTGCACGGGCCTGGCGCACCCCACCAATTCATTGTTGAAATCTTTCACTGTTCTAATCAGTGTTGTGAGCGGTTAGAAGGGGAATGCTGCAACTCTACACGATATCTGCTTTCTTGTTTTGATGATATTAGAGTATCATAGCTACTCAAGTTTAAAATCACACTTTGTTGCAGAATCGAGCTTGTTCTGAGGTTGTGAAGCGGTTACCCGTGTGTGTTATATGTAATGTATGTTTCTTCATCTTTTACTGAAAAAGAAAAGCTAAAACAAAAACTAGCTAAGATCATGACTCATGGGATCAAATAACCAGTTGAGAAGCTCTAACACAACTTCGCCATCTGCAGACTGCAATGCAGCCTTAAATTCATCTCGTGACTTGTGATTAGTGGACATGTAGGGTCCCTTTTGTTCACAGATCAAACTTTTTGCTGATCTGCAGACTGCAACACGAAATGCATGAATACAAAAGTCTTGCAGCCTTTATAAACTTCAATAGATCAAACTTTTTGCTGAACTATCAAACATTAGAAAGTTTTCAATTCGAGGTCCATCTAAGCTGCCTTCTGTTGTACGACATTAAAAAGCTTTCAAATTATTAGGACAAATAACGAAAGAGACAAATAACAACAAGGAAACCAAGAAAAAAAACAGATAAAACTCCTGAACTTCAGAGACATCTTATGACTCAAAAACCATGCTTTCTGCCTCCTTTCTCATGGAATCGAACAGCACAGATGACAGGTAGCGCTCACCAAATCTGGGGAAAATCACCTGCATAACGGCAAAACGAGTCATTTCTGACAACATAAGGTTGAAGAAAACAAGAATGAAATGAAACAGTTTGATGATCTAAATTTCAAATGAAACTAAAATAGTACAGGAATGTAGAATCAGCAGAAATGTAAGGTATGGGGTGAATTTTGTATACCAAGCTAAATTCCCCTCCCGTTTGCTATATGTGAATGAGGTTTTATTTTTCTTTGGGAAAATGCATCAGAGATTTATTAGTAGTACTTAAATTTTCTTGATGGGAATTAGTACTACTTACGTTTTTCTTTCCTATATAGGAAGTTAATAAGCTTCGCGAGAAATGTCTAAAATTTAGACAAGTAGGAATACTAATTCAAAGGTTTTATTTCAGTGATGTCACTTTTTAACCAATTGCATACCTTAACCTTTCAAAACAAGATTATTAAGGCCATGTTTGTGAGTGCATAAAAATAAGTATTTATTTGGGCCATTAAGCACTTATTGGGAAACAAGCCCGAAACAAGTGCTTATTTTTTAAGCCCAAATTTCCAGTTTTTTTTTTTTTAAGTGCTTATCACTTTTTATTTTTTATTTTTTTTCTTTCAAAATTATCCCTAGTTGAATTTTAAAATACCACATATAAAATTATCCTTAGTTGAATTTTATAAAAGTATTTTTATAAAAGTGCTTTTGTAAAAGTACTTTATAAAAAGTGTTTTCATAAAAGTAACTTAATAAAAGTACTTTCATAAGGATATAATTTGAAAATTTGAAAGAAAATAAAAGACAAAATAGTCACAAATGCTTATCTAAGTGCTTATTAGAGAAAGTCTACCAAACGCCCAATATGAATAAGTGCTTATTTTTTAAAATAAGCACTTGAAAAAGTTGATGTCAAATTTAAATAAATGCTTATTCAAATAAACACTCTTTTTTTTTTTTTTAACTTAAGCACTCTCAAACATGCCCAAAACAAATAGTTTTTTCTTGGACGCTTTACAAATCATCTGACACTACACATCTGAAACATCCTGTCATTCCAAGTGGCATTGTAACTAGTTAAATTAGCATGACCAGATTATTCCATTCACAAAACTTGATCTCTTCATTCTTGTCATTTCTGCCTTTCTTTTTCTCGTTCTTCTCTTACTTGTATGTGTTTGTGGGTTTCAAAAACTGATATTCATAACAATGCAACAATCATCCAAACAAGTAAAAGTTTGGCCTGAAAGATCTCCCAAGACTGCCTCGAGTAGTCCTGTTTGGCAGATCTTTTGTGACAAAAATTCAACATGATTGAAGATTCTAATAATATGAGATATGGAGTTCATTCAACTCCCAAAATGTTGTCAAATAGAATCCCAACAGCTGCAGAAAAGTGCTAACCTTATACATCTTGTTTTTGCAGCTAACTACAAAACAAACTTCAAATCTCTCTGCAATTTTAAGTGCAGCAGCAGTTGCAGCACCTGATGATATCCCAACCTGTAATCAATGATCTCTAATATCAGAAAACTAAAAAGGAAAATAATCCACGAACCAGAGAAATCTACATACAGATACAGATTTTGAAATTTGATTTGCTTATTCCAGATAACAGAGAAAAATGAAGGTCTTTTATCATCAAAGGGTAGAGAACTTACCAATAAACCTTCCTTCAGTGCAAGAAGCTTTGCAGTTTCAATAGCTTAATCACTTGATATCTAGAAATTACAGACATAACAAATTTAATAAATCAAAAATCAAATGAGCCTGTAATATGCACCTAATTAACGACCCAACTAGACATCTAATTGATGCAACAGATGTTGGACATGGAACTAAAGTAATTGGTGGATAAACCTTAAAATTCCAAAGAGCAAAGACCCAAACTAGTGGATGACATAAACTGTTGTCTATAGGTTCATGGACCTATGACTCAGTTTGGAAGGAGTACAAATACAAATATGTAGAGTGCAAAACATTGTATTTTGTATGTATTTGTACTGCACATATTTGTATTTGTACTCTTTCCAAACTAAGCCTATATTGCAGCCAAAGGACCCAATCAAAGTATAGTGTGCAAGAATTCTACGAAAGTACAAGTTACGATGGGCACTTAACCTTGTCAACATTGAAACCTGTAGTCTATAGGTTCACAGATCTATTGCGTGCATGAATTTTACTGTAACATAAATTAGTACTCCTAAAGCCTCTTTGTAACATAATTTTCTAAGGGTTTAAATCTTGGAAACAAACCCTCAGTGCATCTGCAGGGGTAAGGCTGTATACATCTGTCCCTCCTCAGACCTGACATTGGTGGGAGCCTCATGCACAAGCTGCCCTTTTAGCATAAATGTAGTACTCCTAAAACACCCTTTTACATATAATAATGTTGGTAAGTTAACCTTAATCCACTAATCTCAAGTCTAAAAAGCTAAGAAATCAAGAACATTTTAGCAAAAAAGAGGTGAATACCCAACCCAAAGTTATTGGGTTGACCCCAACCTGACCTAACCCGGACTGCCTTACAGCTGTAGATGTGGACAATTTATTTACTTTTATGAATGCCTTTTGTATATTCACTGATGTTTCAGTGAATAACTTCATCAATGAGATCAACCTCCAAATCACCAGGAATAAAACCAGCACCAATTCCTTGTATCTTGTGTGGACTTAAGACATTTGAAAGAAATTTATAAAGAATGGAAACAATTAATGTATTAAAACTTTGTTCCCTGTTCTCAAAAATCTTATTAAAGGGGCATTCTTTATGTGGGGTCCATTGAAAATTTATTTTCTTTGGGTGTCACTTATCTAACTAAGTAATGTCCATCTCCCAGGTGGATAAATATCTTTCTTACATGGAAAAAGTTGTCAATACTTGGATGAGATGAGGTTGCCCCTTTTAATAATAGATTTTTGGGCTAAAACAGTCATTATGTTATTTACCTGTGAAATTAAAGAACATGAGTAAATGTACTTACCCAAATAAAGAAGATAGTTTTGAGGTAAAAAAACCCATTGAGTGATTATAATCCCAAACAGATCTCTCTTGCTTTCAGTTCTCTTCCAATGTCCCAGATGGATAACCAAACAGATGAGGTGAGGATGAAACATACTTACCTGGTCTAACCAATCATATGCTCTAACGTCAAACTCAATCTTAGCACAAGCAGTGAATCAGGCTTTGTTAAAGATCATTCAATTATACCAATGGTGCTTACATTAATTAATTTGCTGGATATGGTGTTTCTGTGGAGAATGGTAACGGAGTTTGTGTGGAGCCTTAGTAAGGATGTATCCGGATCTCCCCTGTTTTCATATGCGTTCGCTGTGCATCTTCGTTTTACAATTAGCTATTAAGCTTCAAGCATTCGGATATCTAGCCTCAGAGTTGCTAGATTCCCACATCGCCTAAATAATGACAAAAGGGGAAAGTAAAGGGATATAAATAAAGTGAAAGAGGGTGGGTGAAACATACTTACCTGGACGGGGTCGATGGGTGATCAAGAAGGCCCATGACTTAGGTTGGTGACCTCCATTGCACTGAGGAGGGGTGCCCGCCTAACATCTCCCCAAGTGGGAGAGTGTACGTCATAATTTGTGGCAGCAGGGGGGTACGCGTTCGCGCGGCCCCTACCCAATTCCCGGGTTTGAAAATTTCACTTTCTATCTTGGCAGCAGGGGGGTACGCGTTCTTTATTTATGTTCTGTTTCTTTCACAAAATGAAGCTTCATTACATTCATAAGGTCTGTACGTCCATTCTCTTTTTTACATGCAAAATGGGCCACATTATGATCTCTGTCTTTACAATTGTCATACTCTATTTTAACATTTACCTAAAAGCTAAATAAGATAAATAGCTGGTGTCTCAGAGAGAGGTTTCTCCATCCATCCAGCTATACACTATCTCCTTAACTATTAGTATTTACAATATTCACAATAGATTGAGTATAAAAAAAGATGAGAATAGTCTTCACATTCCTAAAACCACGATCAGTGACCACCATTCTTCTGTAGCTGCTGAAGCCCTGCATTGATGCCTTGCTGCATGTATGATGTTTACCAAATCCATTGAAAATTATAGTTGCTACTGCTGCTGCTTCTGCTTCTGCTTCTGCATATATTATTAAATTCAATCATATGGGTTAGTTTTTGAGACAAAGCCAGGTTTAATGCATACTCCTCTTGATTTTTCCTGTTTTTATACATAGACAGAAAGCAGACCTGTCTCGTTTCTCTAATCCCGCATTTGATGTTTGTTTCAGAAATACAGACAATGGTCCATTCTGTGGATCTCCTATTCCATGAAAATTGATGGTTTGAACATGTGTTGTGAACAAGTTAAAAGGCTTCACAGATTCAGTGGACTTAATTTCTCAAGTACGCATTTGAACATTGATAATTATGGTTCATCTTGAGAGAGAAAAATACTCAGAAAAAAAGACAGGCAAGAGGGTGGTCGATCAGGGTGGCTGTTTCATAAATGAGTAAGGGTTGGATCGGAGGGAGACGAGGAAGGTCAAAGGTATTGGGTGATAATTGTCTCGGCTTTAGTACCACATCGGCTGGTGAAAGGAGTCGAAGAGGTAGGATGAACTATAAAAAGTGATAAAAGAAACAGAGAAGATCATACCTTTCTCGGCCTTTTGGCTAAGATCAAGTGTAGTATCTGTTCTTATCAGTTTAATATCTGATACGTGGGCCATCGGTCCACATGATATTAAATTTATTTTTTTAGGGGGAAGATCTATCTAAGTAGCTTGCTACTGGGTTCTTCAGGCGTCGCCCAGGCGTTGCACTATTGCTCAGGCCTGGCGCACCCCACCAATTCATACACCAAAATTATCTTTCCTTACTAAGAAATGTTTCTTTGGTTATCGTCCTCTTATTATTCCAACCTTCTTCACTTGGTGCAAAGACAGGCAAACAGCTGTGGTCTGCAATGTCTCAGTCATTATCAACGATTTTGGATGCTAAGAACGGGTTAGGTGTAGGGGTGTTGTTAATGGACGTGTTGTGTTGGATCGTTGGATGGATCAATAAGACATTGAATTGGATCAGGCTTGGCCTTAATATTGGATTAGATTGGACCTAGTCCATCCGTAATGGGTCCAATATTGGATTGGACCACCCAGGTCAGCAATTTACTGACCAAATCAATGGTTTTTGGCCAAATAGCGGTTTTGGGGTAAAATAGCAACTACTTCCCAGTTTTCCGGTTCGGTTTTAAAAACATTGCTTGGAATTGCTTTCTTCCTTTCACCCAGGTTGGGTCCATTGGGCGATGATTTCAAAGCAAAACATTATTAGCCATGATTTTGCCCTTGAGAGTTGAAATTCAAATAATTTTTAATAATTAATTAAATAATCCTAGTGGTTGGTTTTCTTCACTGACCGTTTGCTCCCATGAAAGTTCCACTTCTCCTTAGGCTTAGTTTGGAAGGAGTACAAATGCAAATATGTAGAGTATAAAACCTCATGTTTTGTATTATTTTGTATGTATTTGCACTGTACATATTTGCATTTGTACTCTTTCCAAACTGAGCCTTAATAGTGCAAACTCCGGATATTCAATTCTTTAATTTCTTTTTCTTTTTCCTCCGCCCATGTCAGAGCTTGGTAATAGTTTCGATTAATGTCTAAATGCAGATTTGATTCATTAAATATATAGGTGTTTGGCAAAGGTACTGGGAACACCACACCGTTTTCTCATAAAAACGGTGCTGGGCATGTGTGAGTTGTAAGCATCGTTTTCTGATAAAACTGTGCTTATTTTTTGTTTGGAAGCGGTGTTGTCACATAGGTTGTTTTCTGAAAAACAACACTGGTTTTGTTGGTACCAGTGCTATAGAACTGTTTTCAGCTTTGGTCATATTATTCAACATCCAAGATGATGCCACATCATTGCACCGCTGGTAACAACGAACTATTTTTTGAGAAAACATCAAATTTGGCGTTGCTTCAGACTTCACTTTCTTGATTTCCAAAGCATGGTTTGAAGCAACGCTTTTTATGGAAAAACAATACCAAGTAAGATGCCATTTTTTGAAGCACCGTTTTTTCTGATGTGCCGCCTACATGGCGCTGTTTTCTTAGAAAACAACATCGATGCCAAACACCCATTAACTCTTCGTATTAGCGATTCATGTTTCGATGATGAACAACGTATAACAACTCTTCCCATCTCCTATGGATCGAGAGTCCAATCAAATCAGACTGTGGACTAGATGAAGACTCCCCTGCGATCCTATGCCATAATGTGATGGTTTCCCATTCAAGCTTGTTTGCAATTGACGCAAATCTGAATTAGAATCTATATACAATTTTTATAATTGTTTGAATTTTGCATCTATTTATTTCTAATTACTAGTAAGTGTGTATGTGCTTTGCATGTGCCAATTCTAGATGATGATAATGATAGAAATAATCTATCCAAAATTTCTATAAAGTTCATGTAATTTTTATTTTTTATATTTTTGTTTTTCACTATTAATTGGATGCATATTGCAAAATTTGAATCTAATTACATAAGCACCTCATATTGGGCAACAAAGTTTTAGGTACCATTGACAGGCCTACCTACTTGGATAAATTCTTTTTGTAGTGTTTTATCTTCTTCTTATTATATATATATATATATATATATATATATATATATATATATATATTTGAAGAGGGAATTGAATGATGTGAAAATTGTAGTTCAAGTTACATTTTAAACCTCATAATTAAATAGGATTAAATTCAAAAAATTGGTATTTTAGGCAAAAGAAAGTTCCACGATCTTATTCATATTTTTAGTAGCAATATAAATATGGAGTTATACATGTGTTCAATTTTTTTATATTTTTTTTTATTTCTATGCATGTAAAAATAATATTGTTATTTTTACACAATTTTTTTAATATTATAAATATATGATATTATACATGTGCCCAAATGTTTTTTATTTTTGTGCTTTTTATATTTTATTAATTTTTATTATTTAATTATGACATTAAAGGTTAATAGGTTTGACCCAAAAGTTGAACTATTGATTTCTGCTAAATTGGAAACTAATTTAATTTTTGGTCAATTTAGATTATATACATTTTAATCATCAATTAAAAAAATCTTGTTTATTACACTTCCTTTTTCTAATTTGATTAATAAAAAAATCATAAGTGTGCCTATTTTTATATTTTTCTATATTTATTTATATTTAAAAATTTTATTATCTAACTATGACTTCATGAATAGGCTAATTTGATTCGAATAGTTGAATTGCTTAGTCATCAATTGGATAAAGAATGATTTTGTTTTTTATTAATTTTAAAATATATGGATTTATATTGTTAAAAGCATTAGACATAAATTTAATTAGTAGTATTTATTAGTTAAACTAACTTAAATATGGGATTTAATAAGAGAGAATGAGAATTAATACCTTAAATACAAGAATTAAATGAGGTGAAAAACATTAATTGAAATTATGTTTTTAACCTTCATATAATTAGAGATATACTAAATAACAAATATGAACATTTTAGTCAAGAAAAATTTTATACCCTTATTCATACTTTTTATAAGTAATTTATATTCTTCCATAATAAATTGTATACTTTTTTTGTTTCCTTTGCACTCATTGGTCATTCAAATTTTGTAATAATCTTAAATGAATTCTTTCATATAAATTGGAAACCACGCCATCTTGTTTCATTCCCAGACAAGTTGACAGATAAGCTTCTTCCAACATTCATTCTCTTTTATAGAGGCAGGAATGACATCATTTTACTTCTCATACACAGGTAAAACAGTGAAATAAAAAGTAAATCAAAATTATAAGTTTATAACCAACGCCCAACGGTAAAATCTAATGTCGTTCAACTTCCGATCTATTGTTTTTGCCAACGCCCAATCATCAGATTTTCTTGTTTTCAGGTCACGTAGTCACGTACAGTGCCGGAAGCGATGCACATCCTTTTTGCCAAGCAAGTTGTTTGAGAAGGAAAAAAAAATTACAAACAACAAATTGAATGAGATGATGTATCATGCGCGCGCACAAAATTTCCAACTTAAGCTATTGTTTTCAAACAAGTCATGTTTGATTCGCGTGAATACTGGAATCAGAATTGGAGTGGACTATTTCCATTCTAACTGGAATCAGAATTGGAAATGACTATTTCCATTCTAACTGTGCGAATCGTGTTTGATTCGCCAAACAAGTCATGTTTGGCCGAATAACATTCCCATTTCAGATAGTGGTCAATTGGTCATTCTCTCCCCCTCTCTCGTGAATGAAATTCCATTTTAACTAATTTCAATTTTCTTTCTGATTTTTATATGAACCAAATGGACCGCTCTGATTCGAATTCTGAGAGGTTTCTATCCCAATTCTGACTATGAACCAAAATAACCCTAAAGTTTTCTTAATTTAGTAGTCATATGAAAAAATGATGTGTTTGCTTTAATAGGAAGTAAGGATCTGTTTTATTCATAGTCTGAATTGGAATTGGAATTTTAATCGCTCAGGAACCAGAATTAGAATGATCTAGCCCCATAGTCTATTTGGTTCAGATAGGAATTAGAATAAAATTAGAATAATCTGAAATTAGAATAGGAACGGGATTTCAATTCTGTCCAACCAAACAATTGTAATCAGAATGGGTCATTCTGATTCCGATTCTAGACCCCTATTCCCATGAACCAAATGGGCCATTAGTAGCCTTAAGGCTACCTAAAATCCATCTTTAAATCATCTATAAAGAGCAAAGCTCTATTAGACGTGTGTTACCCAAAAAAAAAGTATGAGCTTCAAATGTAGTTACCATTGCTCTCAAAAAGGTTAATGGTTACTAAAAAGAAAAATAAAACAAAACTCATTTCAAATAATGTAGGATTCATAAAGTGAATTATTATTTAGAAATAAAACTTGATTTAATCTCAAATTAAATAACAAATATATAAAAAAATATCAAATAAAATAATAATAACCTAAATTTACGACATAAAAAATGGGTCAAACAAGATTTATCAGGATACATGAATAAAAACATTAGAATACTGACCCATACTTAGTTTGGGGTAAGACTGTAAACAGATTGAATTTGGATAAGATCTAGTTGCATCTGCATCCACATGCAATTATGAAACCTTTAAATTCGCATCAACAACCAATTATGTTAGATTTTGGATCTGATTCAAATTTAATATGTAACCATCTTGTTGTGTTTCAAATGACAAAAAATAAAAAGTTAACATAACTTAATTATTTTTAATTTAGATGTATAATAAATGTAAAATATTAAATTTATCAATTATAAATTTTATATAATTATAAATAATTTTTTTCTTAGATTCAGATTTTAATCAAATTGGATGGGGTTAACTTCTCATAATTAGATATTGGAATTTCTGAGTCCATTGACAGCCTTAGTACGGATTGATGTTTTTAAAAAAAGGCAAACAAGAAAATGAATAGAACGATGTATCATACACAAAAAACTGTTTGGGTTATGGTTGAACTGGCCAAAGATGCCACTGGCAGCCTCTGCGGCCATCCTCTCTCTCTAGCCACGTCGACACCATGCATGACAGGTAATCATGACCAAGGAGTATCCTGCATGGATGAGGAAGTTAACTCCGTTGTGAAAGATGAGACATTCTGAAAACCTTGGCGGGCAACCTCATTCCTAAAACCCTGGAAGCCTCATCCGCATAGAACACGGGCGTCCAACTATAAGTAGGTAATCTCTGCTCAAGGTAAAAGGACTTTTGGAAGCATGCACTATGAGAATACTTCTGCATTACCTTTTCTGCTTGGATCATCATTGTTCTACTACGCTTAGCCCGATCACTCTTCTTTATTCAACTGATTTGAGCGTTGGAGTACTTACCTGGAGATAATTCCTCGAACTTTTGACCTTCTCCTATGGTTGCAGATCCTAGTGTGTGACTTCATTTTTCCACCTCGACTTCATTCAATTAACAGGATTATCTAACTGTATCCTCAAACCCGGAACATCTCAATCGAACAACATCAAAAACTTCCAAGAAAAGCTATTTTCCTTGAATTTAATAGCCGTAATAAAAAAATAGTAGCCATACAAGGCCATTTGAAATCCATCTTTAAATCGTCCACAAAGAACAGAGCTCTATCAGAAATTACATGCTCTATGCAATTTGTACAGGAAGTCAAGCTGAAGCTGGTATCTTTGTAATCCACATAATGAGAACTATTGATTATAAGACATGATGAATTGATTGTGATGGAGGGTAGATGACAAGTTGTTAAGCCCCACAGAGGTCACGTGCCCACTATCTATTCTCCCCCTTTTACTAATCTTCTGGTTCTGAAGTTCAATTTTTGTGGGCTGATCTGTTCCTTACCACATTTGCCGTGTGAAAGCTTTGACAAATTCACTTGGAGGATATTTTCTGGTCCCAACAACAAATTCGCCCCATCTATAAAAAAAAAGACAAGAAATTCAACTTTTACATTTCAATTTTTCTCAGAGGTCTTGTACACTATTTTAATTCTTCCGTTAAGCCCAATAAAAATCTAAAAACTAAAGAGAAGCCAATGACTGATTTCTCAGTCTAAATTTTGGGGGTAGTTCTCCTCTGATCTGTAGTGATTTATCTATTGTGAAAAGAAAGAATAGACATCTTTTTTGGAATTCTGATAAGATGTATAATGAAATTTCTTAAATTTACAAAATCAATTACGTTCCAAACGTAATGGTTTAGTGAGGAAAATCTCAAATTTTTAGACACAATTACCCTCTCCTAAAAAATGAAAAAAAAGTTTTTGATATTATTTTATGAATTTTATTTATTTTGTCAATTAATTACACTTTAACCCACATGCCAAAATTTACATATATTTCGGGAATTGAGTGTTGGTTCCCAGGCAGGTAGTTGATTTTTTATGTAACTCGGTTAATTGACATGCAGTTGAAGAATTAATGCCATCATTTATGGGAAGATTTCCCAGCTCAAGTGTTGCGAGGTCGATGTGAAAGATCAATTTTGTAAGGAAAAATTTACTATGTCGGAAAAATATGATACCTAGAAGGCTTTAACCAATCACAACGCCTCTGAATTTTATAAAAACCCGTTTGATTGGTTATTAAATTTATAATGTCCGTTGATTGGTTGTAAATTTTTTTGGTATCATATTTTTTCAGCATGATAGTACAATTTGGAAACCTGATTTTTTTTTTTTTAATTTTGTTTGGGGTTTGATAGGAAGTTCATAGATTGGGTCATGGCATGCATGATTTTCAAAATTGGACCGAACTGGACGGTCTGACCAGAAAAATTGGGAACCGATCAGGTCTATTTTCTCCAAAAACCATTAATTTTGGTCAGCGAACAATTAAACCGGGTAGTTAAAACATTTGAACAGTTTTAACCATTTTTGATTTTTTTTTTATTTTTTTTTGTCAAAATCGAACGTTTGGCCTGTTCGACCCGATAACTGGATCCCTAATCGATTCGATCACCAGGTCAGTTTTAAAAACTATGACGGCAGGCACTTCATCTGTCTCATATCAAATTCTTGTGAATGGTAGTCCAAGTGAGTTGTTTATATACCTTCTAGAGGCCTTAGGCAAAGAGATCCATTACTTACCTGTTCTTATTGTGCTATAAGATTTGATCTCTTACTATTAAGTGTCTGGGTATGATATCTGGAATTAAAAAGAACAAATTGTGTCCTGCTATCACCTCATCTCTTTTTTGCATATGACTTATATTTCTCAAAGGCCAGTGTAGCAGGAGGAAGAATAATGAAGGTTCTGGAGCAGTATGGAGAGGTGTCTGGTCAGAAGGTGAATCTTGCAAAATCTGAAGCTTATTTTAGTCCAAATCTCCATCCGAGGCTAATAAGGATAGTTTCTAGGGTGATTAAGGTTAAGTCAGTGGATTAGCTGTAAGTAATAGTTTTGTACATTTGATATAGATGGAGGGTAATGAGTTAACAAAAAAAACGATCTTGCGTAATATGTTTAATCCAATTGGCAATTTGATGGACAGGAACATTATACCTCATATTAATAACTAAAAATTGAATAAACTGAAAAAAAAGAAACAGATTTTTCTTTTGCATTAACAGTTTTAAGATCGACCAATGTAAAGAAGTTCTGTTCTAAAGAGCATGAACCGCTAATTGGGAATCTGAGCAGATCAAGATGTTGAATTTTCTCAGTTGAGGCGCTTGGTAAATGTGGTTTTTGTAAAATTGTTTCTGCTATCTATGCTGAAGCTGTGGCAATCAGAGAGAGACCTCGGGTTGAATAAGGGTGAGAAAAAAACTGATCAAAACCGAACCAAAAATTTGGTTAACTAAATCAAACGGTTCGATTTTAATTCAATATTTAAAAAAAAAACAAAAATACCAATTTGATTTTAGTTAACCAAAATAGAAAATCAGCGATTAATAAACCAGTTCGATATTTTTATGACGTATTAGTGGGCCCTAGTGGGGCCACCCACTCTATCGTTCCTCTTTGTGCGTCCTGGCTCCTAACTTGTTAATCTGCCATGTGTGAAGTGGATTGGGCCCAGTCGGACCACGTGGATCAACTCATGTCGTTGTAGGCCCAGTTAAAATTCCTCCTCGTGGACGTGGATCCCACTCCCCAAGAAAAAACCTTTGGCGGTTTTCCCGGACATGGTCCTTGAGAGTTGAGAAAACGACAATTACCAAAATCCCCTTCCTTTCTTTTGCAGTTAGGTTTCGCTTCTTTTTCTTTTTCTGATGCATGCGAACGAATAATTCGGATCTTTTTTATAATTGAATAATTTGGATCTGCAGCCAAACACCACTTTGACATCCAACGGTTATTTAAATCCAGACAATAAGCCAGATGATCAGACACTCAATTTCATTGTTTACGGCTCAACCCACCTTTCTGCATCTACCTAAATTCTCCGGTGTAGAAGATAACTGAGAAGTAAATGCCTGAGTTCAATGAGTAACTATAGAAAAGAGAAGAGGGTGCCCGTGAACCAGAGAGAGAGAGAGAGAGAGAGAGAGATGGGTGATTCAGAGGGTAAGAGGAGTGATGTGGGTATGTGGGCGGTGGTGATGGTGGCGATCCTGTTGATCGGAGGAGCGAGGGAGGTAGAGGGGGAGGATACACCGTCGTGCGCGTCGAATCTGGTGGCATGCGCACCGTACTTGAATTCAACGAAGCCGCCGGATTCCTGCTGCACACCTCTTCGGAACGCCGTAAGCACCCAACTCGAATGCCTCTGCAATCTCTATAAGAGCCCCTCTTTGAAAGCTTTTGTCAGCAACGTCACTCAAGCCCTTGAGCTTCCTAAGTACTGTGGCATCAACGGCACCATCAGCGCTTGCAACAAAGGTTTGTGTTTTGTGTATCTATAATTCTATATTCTGCTTTTGTTACCCAAGTCGTGGAGTTGCAGATGAATGTGGTTTTTTGCTTGGATATTGGGAAAACCTAGTAAACCCACTAGGGGTTTGAAAAAGGAGATTTTGATGGAGTGAATTGAGTGATGAGTCTATTGGGCTTGGAATTGGAATCTGCCTTGAGGGTTTCTGATCTGATGAGTGTTTTAGTAACGATGTATATGTTTTTTATTTTTTGCAGCGCAAGCTCCAACTTCTACTTCTACTTCTGTGCCATCACCTCCAGGTATGAATCTTTGTTTAAACCCATTTTAGATTTAGAGAAGATATTTGTTAGTGACCCACTTAGATTGAGAATCTGCTTCTTTGATTTTTGTTATTTTTTGTTTCTCTGAACATTCAGATGTTAAAAAGGTATAAATTATAGATAACCCATCTAGCAAATACCGACCCCTGTTTCTGAAATGTTTCTGCATGCACTTACCTCAACCAATCAGATTTTTGGCTACCTCCTTTCACTTTGTCAAATGGTCTGTGAATTGTTGAATTTTTTGTACCTTTTCGGTAAACTGCTGGGATGGTTTAGATTAGTAGCTATGTCTTCAGACTTATAATGTTTGTATGGATCAAAGGGATGAAACTTGAGCAGATCGGAATTGATAGTGTTCTTCTAGCTATAAAAATGAGCCAAAAAGTACTTTGGGCCTTTGGTAAAAGGAAACACTTTTAAGGAGTGTTTCTTTCTGAGCACCAAATGCTCAAAGCACTTTTTGATTCATTATGCCCTGAAAGCGCTTTTTTTTTTGGTTTTTTATTCATTTTGCCCTGAAAGCATTTGAGCATAACGAATCATTCTGCATTTTTCATTTAAGAGTGTCTCTTTCTGAGTTCGACTCAAGGATTTCATTTATGGTAAAACAAACAACATAAAGAAATAGAATAAGCCCAAGAGGTCAAATCATACCCATTGTCAAACTTGGATATTTCTTCGTGCTTTGCTGACGAACTTCCCTGGGTTGAATTTACATCACTGGTGTGTCGCAGGGGGAGAAGGCAGTGGCGTGGGCAGGCTGGCATCGACCGGAATTGCTAGTCTTCTTATGGTTTGGTTTTCTATGAATGTGTTCTAGGGAGGATTATATCCTTTCTGTGGGCGAAAAACTTTGAACATTTAGGAAGACCAATTGGTTGGTGGTGGCCTTTGTAATAGTCTAATAGAGATGAGTTGATTGATTACTTTAATTTCCCTTTCCTTTACGCTAAGGTTAAGTTTAGGAGTGCTTATTTGAAGAATATAAGTGAAAAATACTTATTTTTTCCTTTCAGTGAAAAATACTTATTTTAAACAGGGTAGTATAGGTATTTTCAAAATGATATGGAGGGCTAAGAGCCTAAGATAAGCCAGAAAGGAAATAAGTACTAGGCTGTGTTTAGTTTGAACTTTGACTTTGAAGGAAGTAAGGAAAGGAAATAAATATTATTTTTTCCTTCAAATCAAACATAACTTTAAAAATATATTCAAATTTTGGGCATCTCAAATAAGTTTTTATTCTCAAACACTTTTTGCGGGCTTATTTCCAAAGCCCAAATAAGTATTTATTGGTGCATTTCTAGCCAAAATGTAGCCTAAATTTGGTTTTGGATCACTCTTACTTCTTACTTCCTGTAAAACCAAACACAGCCATAAAATATCCAGCCCGCACCCGCAATTACGGGGAAGTATATAGCGAAAGGTCATGAGGCCAACCATTGGTGCCTGTACCAACTGAGTTCACATCTGCAAAACTGCGCCCCACCCAGCGCGGCCCAAAAACGCCCCACAGCACATCTCAGCGTGCATTGGGAACATCTCCCGTAGGATTGGCTGTGATCCAGCGCGCTGTATGGGGTGCAGATGTGAATTCTTACCAACTCTCTTGAAAGTTGAAACCACAATTATTAGCTACAGAATTGGAATTTCCATTCTCTAAATTCCTAAATTCTCTCCGCGAAACGCGGAACCTGCATTTTATACCCTTTGGTTTCGAATTCTGCGTTTTCCGCGGACATCGGGGAATGAGGATTAGTCGATAGTCATTTCCAACGTGTGTGGACGATTATTAGATTATGCATGAATGAAATACATAACAGAGAGTCAAAGTCTTCTGATATACGTAGGCTTTTAAATCGTCGTGGACCCGGACGGTCGGACCGCTTTGGCTTAGAAACCGGTTAGGTTATCAGCTCCAAATGGTTATTTTCCTGAAAATTGTTGAATTCATCAGTGGTTCGCTTATTTGGTTGTCAAATCCGATGTTTTGAAAAACTATCCAGAATCAGAACTGTTCTAGTCACGGATTTTTGAGTTGATTCGACTGTCTAATTCCAATGGACAGTTTGTACTGACAAAAGGTTTAAAAATAAAACATAAAGGTCATTGATCAATTCAACGGTTTTTGGCTAGGAATCAGGTTTGGGGTAAAATAGAACTGGTTGTCTGGATGGTTCTTGGGCCAAACGGTCCAACTGTCTAGGTCAATGTTGGTTCGAAAACATTGGTCAAATTTGTGACTTGTTTGATCTCGACAACGGTTTTTGGGTTAATCTTTTATTTTATATTTTTATTTTTTAAATGTGATAAGCTGATTCAGTGTTTTCAAAACATTGTTGGCCTAGTTTTTAATCAAAACCAATTGACTTGGCAAAAAACCCTCAAACCAAATTGGTTGAATCATTGACCTGTTCGACCCGGTCACCAAGTCACGGGTTGCACACTTAATATATTGCAAACTTTTAGAAGCCATAACTTTGTGCGTAGATGTCCGATTGGGGTTTTTTTTTCTATTTTAGGTAATGTTTTGATATATATGCATCCCAAGGCATCTTATGCACCTTACCAAGCTATTTTTGAAAAAAAAACTCTTTTTGGCCTCAAATAATTTTTAATATTTTTATAAATAAGAAATTAAAATCTGAATTAAAATATAAATTAAATATAGCATAATGCATATGTTATGTATAGAATCTAATTATACATATTTATTGATAAAATATATGTATATATGTATATGCTGATGTGACGTGATATGACCAGATTGACCAAGAAGGTCTAACTGGTAACCAACAATAAAAAATGGTTTGGCCTTGCTTTTTGAAACACTGAGCTGATTTGTTCGGACTAAATTATCAAACTGCTGAACTGGAAACTAGTGGCCAAAGTGGTTCCAGTTATTGATAAAACCTGTGGAAAAACTCTCTGTCTTTTCATTATGCAAGGTACAATATATATATATATATATATACAAATCTCATGCCCAAATATAGAAAACTTAGCTGTAGGAAACTACTAATTACAGCTGCAGGAAACTACTAATTACATCCTAGAGGATGAGGGTAAAGATATTCACTTCCCAAAAATACATGCTGGAATATTTACATTCCTATACAAGGATAGATCTCCCAATACTCCCCCTCAAATTGGTGCATGAAGATTTCGAATGCCCAATTTGCCAAGAAAATGTGCGAATTTCTGTTTTCCAAGAGCCTTCATCAAGATGTCAGCCAACTGTTCTGTGGTTCGAACATGACAAGTAGCAATGTTCCCACGTCGTATCTCATCTCGAACAAAATGGCAGTCGACCTCAATATGCTTTGTTCTCTCGTGAAACACTGGATTTGCGGCTATATGCAGAGTTGCTTGATTATCACAATATAATCGCATAGGTTCATCATGTGCCACCCCCAAAGACAATAGAAGTTTCTTCATCCACTTCAACTCACAACTTGTCGTAGCCATCGAACGATATTCTGCTTCTGCAGAGGAGCGCGACACAATATCTTGTTTTTTCGTTTTCCAAGAAACGGGTGATTACCCCAGCAGAACAAAGTAGCCAGTCAACGAGCGTCGCGTTAACGGGCAACTTGCCGAATCAGAATCGCAATAGGCATATAGATGCAAATTGTTGTCAGAACGCAAAAATACACCTTGTCCAAGATTCCCTTTCACATATCGCACCACTCGCAAAGCTGCCTCCCAATGTTCTTGTCATGGACCCTGCATGAATTGAGCCAAGATATGAACACAATAACACAGTTCAGGTCGTGTGATGGTTAAGTATATTAACCGTCCCACTAATCGTCTATATTGTTTCGGATTTTCCATTAGAGCGCCCTCTACCAGCGCAAGATGAGGATTCTGTTCAATGGGAACGGATGTTGGTTTGGCTCCCAATAGTCCACATTCCGAGATAATGTCCAGGGCATACTTTCGTTGAGAAAAATATACCCTCAGGTCCACGAGCTACTTCAATACCCAAGAAATATTTGAGTGAACCCAGATCTTTCATATGAAAGCATCGATTGAGATACTCCTTGAATTTCATAATGGCCACAGTGTCATTTCCCCCAATAATCAAGTTATCAACATATATCAGCACGTGCAAACAAACATTGTGTTTGAAATAGGTGAACAAGGAGTAGTCAGGATACGATTGAACAAACCCGAATTGTATCAAGGCCGCTCTTAACTTCGAGAACCAACATCTAGGAGCTTGACGTAATCCATAGAGAGATTTCTTCAATTTGCACACTTTTGTTCGATCCGTAGCTATAAAGCCTGGAGGCAACTGCATGTATACCTCCTCATTCAAATCCCCATGCAAAAATGCATTATGTACATCCATCTGATGCAACTCCCAGTTCCTTGCGGTTGCCACGACTAAGAATGTTTGGACAGTCGTCATTTTGGCCACAGGAGCAAAAGTCTCATTGTAATCTAACCCCTCAACCTGTCTATTCCCGAGAATAACTAGGCGCGCCTTATGTCGTTCAACCGTCCCATCTGAATTATATTTGGTCTTATACACCCATTTACACCCTATTGCCTTTTTCCCGGGGGGTAGAGTCTCCAATGTCCACGTACCATTATCATCCAGCGCTTGGATTTCCTTCCTTATAGCTTCCCTCCATTTCTTACTTTTTACCGCCTCAGAAAAACTGGTGGGCTCGGTTCCTACAGTAATTGCAGCTAAGAAAGCTCGATGTCTAGCAGAGAAGTTAGCACATGTCACATAATTTKCTATGGGATAGGGAGTTGTACCTGAGGACCTTGATTCAGAGTTGGCTTGAGTGTGAATGGGGTCTTCCAAACAACGAGCAATATAGGTCACATAAGGCCTTAATAAAACAGACGGCGTGCGATGTCGATGTCCCTTGCCAAGTTGGTCCTTTGGTGTTGTTTGTGGTGTTGGATCCACACCAATTCCGCCTCACCACCATCATTTTCCACGTCCTGCACACGCCCTCCATCTCCTTGTTCCTCCTCCTTTTCACCACCATTCTTTTCATTTTCGAGGCTYCCCCTTTCATTCACACAAATAACATCTTTGTCACTCCCCCTATCTTCATTTCCTCTGTGGTTGTGAAGAACACCTTTTCTTATTCCAAAATCATCATCATCAGTGACGGCATCAACTAGTGCAATGGCTGAGCCAGAGTTGTTTTCCAAAGTCACTTCTATATTAGTGGCATATGGGAATATACTTTCATGGAAAACTACATCACGGGAGACAAAATATTCACCTCTTTCAACGTCATATACGCGCCATCCTTTCTTTCCGTAGAGATAACCTACAAAGACACATTTCCTACTCCTCTCTCCAAACTTATCCTTGTCTCGAGGACTCCAATGAGCATAACAAAGACAACCAAATACTTTCATTTGCTCATATTGAGGTGGCGTCCCAAACAATACCTCATAAAGAGTCTTCCTACCAAGTACAGAAGAAGGTATCCTATTTATTAAGTATCCGGCAGTTAAAATACACTCCCCCAAAAAACAGATGGGCAAGCTTGCTTGAAATCTCAATGCTCTCGCAACATTCAAGATATGCCAGTGTTTTCTCTCCACCCGACCATTTTGTTGGGGTGTCCCAACACACGAAGTTTGATGCAGAATGCCATGATTCTCAAAGTATGATTTTAAGCATTTAAATTCTGTTCCATTATCAAAGCTAACAGCTCTGACTTGTTTGCCAAATTGACGCTCTGCCATGGCACAAAAACCCACACAGCACGTGAATAATCATCAACAATGGTTAGAAAGTACATGACACCACAAGAGGCAGGCACTTTATAAGCACCCTATGTATCACAATGGATTAGAGAAAAACAATCATTAGCTTTATTTCTACTTTCAGGAAAAATTTCCCGAGTTTGTTTTGCCCTGTAACAAACATCACATGGTTTATCTCCTTCAGTTCTCCTACTTAGTTTATCTACTTTAGGAAGAAAAGATAATATCTGTTTAGATGGATGTCCTAATCTGCGATGCCATAACTCC